AATGAATTATTACAAAACTTACAAATATGAAATAGAAATACAATTAAAAGTGTATTTAAAATATTTTTATTTTTATTTACTTGAGGTGAAAATTTTCAAAACATCATCAAAAGATAGTTTTCTAGATTTAATGTCATTCTCAACCAATATAAGTATTCTTTGATCTGTGTTGATCATAGTTCATTTACTACTGATTTAGGAACCACAAAGGAACAATGAAAGGTATAAATTCCATTTTTTTTTTTTCTTAATAAGAAACAGAAACAGAAAAAATGACATTCTTTAAAGAACATGCCAAACACTGTTAGTTCATTACTTACTATTATAAGTTCATTGAAGATTAATCATATTTTTTTAGATACATTGTGTTAATTTAACTGGACTGAAAAAAAGAAATTCTATTAAAGAAAGACTTCAATATGCAGAAGAGATACTTCCAGATATACTAAATTCTGCCCATAACCCTTTAGGAGTATGTAATTTGGACATATTTTTTTAGCAAAATATTAAAAATAGTTTGCATTATTGTTTTACCTGTAATTATTTATTTAGGGAAATATGTGGTGGGCTGAATCTGAAAATCCTTGGCAAACTTTGGCTTGTTGTATTGAAATATCTCATGCTTTACAATTAGAAAATCCAGAAAACTTTATTTCTCATTTCCCTGTTCATCAAGATGGATCATGTAATGGTTTGCAACATTATGCTGCATTAGGTAAAGATTTAGCAGGAGCAGTGAGTGTCAACTTAACTCCTTCAGATGTACCACAAGATGTGTATAGTTGTGTTGCAGCTATGGTAATAACATTTAAATTGAATATTAAGTAAATAATTAATTAGGTCATATTAAATTATTTTATTTAACTAGGTCGAAAGAGAACGATCAAAAGACGCTGCAAATGATGTAGAAATTGCAAAATRTTTAGATGGATTTGTTAGACGTAAAGTAATTAAACAGACTGTAATGACAACAGTTTATGGTGTAACTAGATTTGGTGCTCGTTTACAAATTGCTAAACAATTGAAAGGTATTTTCTAAAAAATATATTTTTTATGAACTCTATAGAACATTTAAATAAAATATATTTTTTTTTTTTTTGTTAGATATTGATTCATTTCCTAAAGATAAAGTCTGGTCAGCTTCTACTTATTTAGTGGCAAAAACTTTTGAAAGTTTAAGAGAAATGTTCACTTCTACAAAAGAGATACAAGTAATCTTTAATTATTAATTATTTTAAATATTTATGAATTCAGTTAAAGATTTACTTAGCTATGTTTCTAACCAAGAGCTAATTTAGCTAGAACTCGAGCTGGTGTTCTAGGTTCAACGTATTTAGTTGTTTTTTAAAGCAGTATAAAACCCAGGCTACTTAGAAAAAATCCATATATTTAAGTATAGGAAATTTAGATCATAGTAATCAAATATCAAATGTCTATAAATAGATTAAAAAGCATCAAATTATTTGTATTCCATATATAGAATATGATATTAGAATAAATTAAGTATTTCAAAATAGGAAAAATTGATTTTAAGTAAAAATTGTAGTTTTCCACCAACTTTTGTTTGGAGTTTCACTATAGTTATGAACATTACTGGAAATTTTTTACTTTTGAACCCATAAAGCAGTGATTCTCAACTGGTGTATCGTGACTTATTTATGTGTGGTGTTAACCATAATGTGTGTCACCAAAAAAATTGGTTGAGAAGCACTGCCTTAAAGTATCAATAACAGATTAACTTTATTGGCTAGAATTGAAAATCAAAGCTCATTTTTCTCTTTTAATAATTATCTGTAGTACTTCAGACACAAAAAAGTGGTACACTCTTAAAATCAATACATTTATTGGAAGTACTCAAAATCTAAAATAAATATTTTTTATTTTTACATTAAAGTAATTTATGATTTAAATGTCCAACAAATATTCAATTAATTTTTTTTTAATTTAAACTGTATTACATTATTTTAGGATTGGTTTACAGAATGTGCCCGTGTAATATCACAATCATGTGGTCAAAGTGTAGAATGGATAACACCATTAGGATTACCAGTAGTCCAGCCATACAACCGTAGAAATAAAAGTCATGATTATACCAAGAAATCTAGTATGAAAATGGGAGAACATTTTATATTGGATATGTATGAGTTAGTATCTAATTAAACTATCTTAAATATAACTATAAATTACAAGTTTCATTTAAACTTCTGTTTTGTTAATATTTAATTTTAATTATTTTTGAATTGAGTTTTTACTTTATAGATAATTATATTTATCAATTATGTATAATTTGTAGTCGACCAAATGTGATGAAACAAAAAAATGCATTTCCTCCAAATTTTATCCACTCGTTAGATTCCAGTCATATGATGTTAACATCTCTTCACTGTGAACGAGYGGGTATCACATATGTATCAGTACATGACTGTTTCTGGACACATCCTAATTCTGTTGAGATTATGGGAAAAGTAATGATACAAACAAACGTATACTTTTAATGAAAAGCTTATTTATATATAATATTTTTAGATTTGTAGAGAACAGTTTGTAGCATTACATAATGAACCAATTCTAGAAAATTTATCTAATTTTATGATTAAAAAATATGAACTTCCTACTTAGTAAGTATAATAAGAGCTAAGAATAAAAAAGAATTAATATTATTAATTATTACATTTTTTTTTTTCAGTGATATAACAAATGATACTCAAGATATGTTAAATATTTTTCAACAGTTACCTAAAAAAGGAGATTTTAAACTTAATAATGTTCTAAACTCTATATACTTTTTTAGCTAAAAAGTTTTAGCTTGTTGTGATATGAGTTTTTATTTATTTTTGTTTTCTAGTCTTAAAATATATTTGTATTTTTCCAAAAGAAATGAGTTCATTATTCGTTGCTGATAATACATAAGTTTTTAGTGTAATATACACTAAAAAATACTATCAGGGGAGTGCTGATCTAGTTTGATATTTATTATACCAAAAATATGTCTACAGAGAACTGATTCAGTTCAACATTTTATGTTTTTTTCTGATTAAAAAAAATTAAGAAATTTTACGCTCGCATATTATGTTAAATTAATTTCAACTCTGAAGTATGATCTAATTAAATAATATTTGGTGCACACATATCTTAAAAATATGTATTTAGTTTAATATTTGATGCAAGCTAATTATTAATTGTACTATATTACTAAACCATTGACAAGTGCTCTGACAATGTACCCATAACGGCCATAACAAATATTGATATTTGTTTGTAATATAAAAGAACAGATGTGGACAGTCAGTTATGCGACCCAGTATTCTTTTATGAAAAACTAAAACGTATTATTAACTTGTTAAATATTCAAGGTTCCTTCTAAGGCTAGCCCATGGTGTATATGTTAAAAAGGAGTACTGCAAAAACTGCACCTTACAACTGTCTTCTAGCTTAAAAATATTTGAAAAAGTTTTTCTTGAGCGTACAGAGAAGTGGCGATCACTAGGATATGATTTTATAAGTCAATCTAAGTATAGGGGAGAGGGAAATTGCTTTAATAATGGAGGAGCTCTTGGTGCCAAACTTGATCAAATGCCTGTTCAACGTCCAAGAACTCTACTGTGCATATGAGCTTTTCTTCGAGAGAAAAAGAGATCTTATATACAATATGGTGGACAGGGCCAGCGCTAAGTATTTTGCCGCCCTGTGCAGTTAATAAAATGCCGCCCCTTTCAATACTTTTTGTCATATAATTAGTACATAGTATTATTTATTTTATACAAAATGAACAAAATTAATTATAAACTGGACTAAATTGTAGGASAATAGGAGTTCAAACGGTGAAATAAATAATCAATTTATTTATTTACATTTTACATTGTTACACTTAATATTTTTTTCACAAAAGTTTTTTATTTACATTTATAAAAATAAATGGTAGTTCATATTTACAATTAATAATTCATACAACAATAAATAKAGAAATAGAGTATACAAGCCATGTTCTTGTGACATTTTCTCCATTACTCATACTTCGTTTGTAATGAAATTGTGTGAATTTTCGTCCTTGATCATCTGAAGGAAATACAAAATTTGCATTTAACGGAGCAGGAGGGCCTTTTTCAACCAACAATGTTTTAAAGTCGTTATTAATAATTAAAGGCCATTCCGCAGGGTCTGTACTGATAA